GCGAAAAGCACGAATGCTATGTTTAAGGGTCTTTCTTCTCCATATTTTTCTTTTTCGCCTTTTTTTTGCGCGCGCCTTTCTGTGTCATCCTGCGCCTGCAATTCAGAAAAAGTTTTTCAATAACGATTACGGAGGATGAATAGTGTAAGAGTCTGCAAGCCGGAGGTAATAGTATTTATGTGTTCACCGATGGTTCAAAAATTGTAGAAGCAAATTTATACTGCGCGGAAGTAGAACTAAAAAGTCATTTAAGTCGCCAAAGCACTGCAGTATCTTTTAAGCTGAAGTTACAGCGGCAGAGCTTAAAGGCATAACGAGAACCGAAAGGGTGGCGCTCTTGCAAAGGCAGGAGTGTTGCAGAAAATTTCAATCATTTTAGAAATACCAATTTCCCTACAGGTTCCAAGAAGGAGTGTGATCTAAATGTAACGTTGAATTGCTTTGAGGTGGCGATTCCATCAAAACTGAAGCAGGAAACTAAAAATGGGTTCCGTTACGAAAGAATCATGGGTTCTTGATATATTTTACAAGCCAGCAAGCACAACCTAACCTAACCTCACCTAATCATTAGCTTGGTCAAATTTTTTGAGCCAAAGACATCCACAGGATTGTAGTCCGTGGCAACACACGCTGTAAGAGGAGTACAAAGTTACAGGGAAATTGCGCTCTTTGTGAGTCCGAAAATGACGAGCAAACGGAAATGAAAAAGCAAAGCGGCAGCAGGGAAGAAATAAAGAGCATAAAAAATGTATGTATAACCACTTGAAAAGGACACGCTCCGTGAAATTGGCAGTTGCAAGAAACACGAAAGGAAACAAAACTAACTTTATCGGCCATAACAAATGTTGCGGAAATTGCCACGAATGAGTTACACGAGCGCAAGGACAGCAAACGAGCGCCAACGCACAGGCGAGTAAATAAACGAGAGTGGACGAGTAGTGGCAGTTCCATTGCCAGTGCCAGCGCCAGCGCTAGTGTCAGGCAGCTTCGAGTGGCAAAGTGCCATTTCCTAAATTGTGTGTGGCGGAAAAAACAGAAGCATTTGCAGCAAATAAATAGAAAAATGTATGGAAATAAAAAAAAATAAATTGAAATAAAATTAGGAATAAAAATATCGCACAAGTTAATAAAAGAATTTAGCAAATATTTTATAGAAACCCAATTCTAGTGAAGTGGAGTGAAAATTTGTATCGCAATTTTTTCCATTCGTAGGAATTTCAACGAGTGCGTAAGAGCGAAAGCCAAAAAGTGAAGTAGTGAAGCGCGAAAGGCAGCAAAGACAAAGAGAGCAAAGCATTTTTTGTACGCCCTAACGCCGTCGCTCTATTGAACAACAACAAGTATTTAGGCAAACACGAAAAATAGAAAAATACAAAAAGAAAATGTTTTAAGTGTGTGCACTTAATATTTATGTGTACTGTTACATACATATGTACATATGTATATACAAATAGTATTCGCACTAAATATATACGCCGACGGCTTTGATATCGCAAGTTCGGCCTGACCTTTTTAACGACTTCGCATTTGCTGTTGCCCCATTGCAGCGCATATCCTTTTAAGTCACTTGCCGTGTAATCGTTATCGATGCGTATACTTTTTTTTAATGGTCTGCTGAATTGTCAAATACTGTCAATACTGTCCCAAGGCGGGAGTGATTTTTTTTATTGTAAAGTGACTGCAAGGAATTGAAATTATTTTTGATATCTTGTACCCCTGCTTCTGTTCCCCTTCATCATTCCATTTGGGGGGGGAGAATTTCCACGCATACACACACACACACACATACGCCCAATCAATGAAAAAATGGTAACGATGACTTCAGAGATGGACAAAACGCAAACCTCAATCGTTATGACCGCCAAATTTGCTGCCGAAAATGCTGCTCGTACCACCAATCCACTTCAGTCTGAGGAAATGGCCAATCATGGGCGTAGTGTTGATGTTCTTGCGGACACTGGCAATGCAAATAGCGGTGCAGGCAACACTTGCGATGAAGCGAAAAGTTCAGATACAACAACAGCCACCTCAGTTGCAGCGATCAAGCCATTGGAATTGTCAAGTGTCACAATTTCCATTGAATTTGCAAGTGAAGATGAGTCCTCAACAGTTGTGACGCCAGCTGATGGTGTGGAAGCGGTTGCAAGTAGTACCACAACATCAACCAGCACCTCGCAAGGAGCAACGCCCAAAACGCCAACCACGCCGATTGCTGTTGCAAAGCCTGCCACACCTACTGCAACACCAAAAATATCGGCAGCAGCAAGTGCCACAGAATCTGCAGCGATCACTGCGGCTGTCATCGAAACATCTGCTGCGTCCGCTGCCGCTAACAATGGCGACAATGCAACAATAAGTGAATCTGCTATTACGAACGACACCACCATTGCAACAGCGACCAAAACATCGTCACCGCAAGCGTCCCGAGCAGCGCCAGCCACTGGTTCAGCTCCGACCCTGGCCACAAATGCAGTTAGGGCGCCTACAAATGCAACCACCGTCGTCACAACCACCGCCGCCGCTTCAAAGTCAACGTCGCCAGTAGCCGCAGCAGCAGCAGCAGCATCAACCTCAACAACAAAAGTGAACTTTAGCGACAACATCACAAGCAATAGCACCTGTACGTCCAGTACAAATAGCACCAGCAGTGTGACCAGCATCTCTGCGCCGGCTGCCGCAGGTGGTGCCACTGGCAATGGCAATGGCAATGGCAGTCAAAATCATCATAACCATCAGCAAAGCAGTCAGCATGAGAAGTCGACTGCCGGGACTAGCAGTGGGAGTGGTAGTGTTGGTGGTGCTGATAGCTCGCACAATCAGCTGCATGGCGCGAAGCCTTCCTTCCCCACAGCCGCAATAACAAATCTGCCGTTAACACGTCGCAATGAAGATGCGCCCAATATTCTTGTGTACAAAAAGGTAATCAAGTGTGCTAAGTCGAGTGGCAAACAAGAAGAGATAAGACCAAAAAAGATTTAAAGAAAGTTGATAGTAGATTACATGGTGTTATGTACATATACGGAGCATTCCATGGTTGGTACGGTGCAAATAGTAATCAATAATTTTTTCGGTTTACGGCTCTAATTAAAGTCACGCCGACTTTTTTTTATAAAATAAATATCTACATAGTACTTCATATTTGTATGATAAAAAACTAAACAAAAACAGTAACTAGAAAATTTATTGCTGTCTGTCCGGGACAAATCCTAGCCAGCCGAGAAACGTAAATTTTGTGGACAGTGCGGTCTCGTACAATTTTCCGAACCCAGAAATGTACAAAACGTTTATAATTGTAAAAAGTAGCTACATGAAATTAAAATTTTTTTTTTATACAGTAAAATCAAAAAAAAGTAAAGAAAATTTAACAAAAAAAAAATGTTAAAAAATAATGTAGAAAAGAAAATAAATAAAATAAGTTCCTAAAAATTAAATGAAATTAAAAAAAAAATATTTGAAAAACAATAACAACCAAACCATTAAAGAAAATTTTATAAAAATTAATTTGATTAAAAAAGTGTTAAAAACTAAGTTCAATTAAAAAATATGTACATAGTAGATATGTTTTTTTAATAAAAAATAGGGAAACTTAAATTAAAAAAGAAAAATTGTAAATTAAAACAAATATAAAAATTCGTTGCGCCAATACCCGAACTCGGATCTCTCGATTGGCACGCCTGTACCTTTCCCACTCGGCTACTGCGACTGTTGGAGTGACGCGAGCTAAATGATATACAAATGCTTTTTCTTAAAATAACCGCCAGTAGTGAACGAGAGATCTTTTTTCTAAGACTTTTGTGCTAGAATAACAAAAGTCTTTCCGAGTATCTTGCCATCTGTCTTCCATTTGCCTTAAGACAGACTTTTTGCTATCTTGGCCAGAATTGCCTTGTTAGTTTTTAAAAACTGAATGTGTGTGTTGAAAATGGCTAGATTTTTATTTTTTTAATTTCTATCCAGTGTATTTTTTCGGTTTTTTTTTTATCAACAAGAAAATTTAATAATAATTAAAATTTAATAATTATTATTTAAAAATTAACAAGTTACTCTTACGACCTATTGAGCTGAATTTCAAGTTGATTAATCGAACTTTGCATTCAAGTAAAAAGTCTAAATATTTATGTAGATGCAGCAAATATAATACTCATGTAACTTTTAAGAAATTTCATTTTCTATGTGCTCCACAAAATATTGACGGTACTTTGGAAAAAATTCGTAACAGAAATCACCACAAAAAACGTATTCCTTTAAATTAATTCAAAATATTAAATAAATGTATAATGACATATTAAGATTCATCATATTTTATACTGAACTAAATAACTAACAAGTAATTTTTAAGCAAAATACAAAACCGACTTCAATTCTCATATAAAAATTTAGGAGTACCGTTAATTTTTTCAGGATCCAATGATCTGATCTAAACCAGATTAGTATGGGACCACCTCTGCCTTTCGGATGCAAAAAGAATTTTCGGAATCGGTTGACGTGGTCCAAAGTTATGCGGTAACATACATACAAAAAAAAATATTCCGACGGATTGATAACCTCCTCCTTTTTTGAAGTCGGTTAAAAATACTAAATTTCATGTGAACAATTTGTCCCAAAAATTATGAAGTAAAACAGAAACAATTTTTCCCAATTTGTTTTGGTTTTGCTTGTAAAATCATGTGAACAATTTATTCACATGGAATTGGCGATAGGGCTGATGAAAAATTTGTTGTTTTGTTATTAATAGAGAGTGTTTTGTTGTTCCTGTAAAGTAGTGCTCTATGAGATACGAGTTTTCGCCAAAATACCGACGTTATGTGAAACAATTCAAGTTTGTAGGCATTGATGTTACTCATACGACGCGTAGTTTTTTTTCGAAATGTTTGAATACGAAATATACATAAGGGGCGTTCCATACCAAAATGGACGGGGTTCACACTTCATGTGTTCGATTTGTTTCAAATTTTTAGGGTCGATGGATAAACATAAATAATAAATAAATATGAAATTTGAGCTTGATTAACACATTTCTAAAAACTTTACAACACAAAAACAAAAACAAATCGAATTAATAGTTTTCCAAATATCTCGAGAACGAGACGAGAAAAAAATTGAAAAAATCACACCTACACATTAAAATGCTCTATGAAAAGAAAAATTGTTTTATTTTTTTTTTCTTGAAAAATTTTCCACATACAAATTTTTGATAAAAAAAAAAAATGGCAATGGCAAACCGCCCAGCAGCTTCAGCTAAATATATGTATTTCTCTCAACACATAATTTCGTTATAATTATCTTATTTAGATAAAGTTACCAAATCATTTGTTGAGAGAAATATTTTAACAGACTTTTTTCTGACTGTGTGAAAACATCTAGGCGGACGCCACAAAGTTTATTTGAGAGTAGAGTGACTACAGCAGTTAGATATGGCATTCTGAAAATGTAGTCGTGTAGTGCATAATTCGTCTAACCTCTTAAAACCTTAGAAGTTTTTTATATTTTTTCGGGCATAATTTAAACATTTTTACTCATCCCGCGGAAATTTTTTTTTTTACTCTTTTACTTTTATATTTTTATACATGCGCTTATTTATGTATTTGGTTATTTTTTTAAATCATTTGTAAATGTTCTTAGACGTTCAATAGTCCATAGACCGAAAACGGAAATAATTTAATAGGTCGGAATAGGCTAGATAAACCATTTTTTATTAGTAGTTTGGACAAATCTTGATTGCGTCGAAATCTTTTGAGATGGGTCTTTTCAATATTTTAGTTTTTTTTTTTTCAAAATAATGGCACAATTTTTTCCTCATAATATTTTACTTTTCAACCTAATTGAAGTACATTATAACCCATATCTTTACAATTATTTCCTATTAGCCCGGCCAAGTTAGATTTTCAAGGTTGCAATAATTCCCAAAAAGCTTAAATGAAATGTGTACATACATATCGATGGCTGAGTGGAAGATCGACCTATCTCGGCAGCCAGTTCGAAAACATTCTATCTCAAAAAACTTTTCAAGAAAGTCCTATTTCAAAATTCATTTCAAAAACGCCCTATATCAGCATATTTTCAATACATTTTGAAGTGCGATAGGGCGTTTTTGAACCGAATTTTGAGATAAGGTGTTTTTCAATACAATCCTGAAATAGGGCGTTCTTGAAAAGTTTTTTGAGATAGAACGTTTTCGAACTGGCAGCCGAGATAGGTCGATCTTCCACTCAGCCATCGATATGTACTATATAGGTATTTTTATAGAAGTGACTAAGAAAGAGCACCATCGGCATAGATAATTTTAAACAACATTTTCACTGCCTTAGCTGTTCTATAAAGAACTTGGGCTGAACAAGCCACCATTGCTTAATCCACCCTAAACTAATCATAAGAAACCAAATATCCGTTTTGAATCTCAAAACTTACTTTTTGTTACTACTACACTCATTTATAACTTACCCCCAATTCCACAGATGGAAGCAATCATCGATAAGATGCAAGCAGAATCGACTGGAGTGGCCGTGCGTACAGTTAAAGCGTTTATGAGCAAAGTGCCATCAGTGTTTACTGGTGCGGATCTAGTCGCTTGGATACTAAAGAATCTTGGTGTAGAAGAAGTGACAGAAGCCTTGCATTTTGCTCATTTGGTTGCCTCGCATGGTTACATTTTTCCCATCGATGATCATCAGTTGACTGTGAAAAATGATGGCACGTTTTATAGGTGAGTATGTATTAGTTTGAAGTATACATTTAGGCGCATGGTTTTAATGGCGCAAAAGCACAGAAGCTTAGAGCAGGCAGCTGTGCAAATACTTATAAGCTTAACTTCAAGCTCTTCTTTTATTTTTTAATTTACGTAGATTTCAAACGCCCTACTTCTGGCCATCAAATTGCTGGGAGCCGGAAAACACCGATTATGCCGTGTATCTGTGCAAGCGTACAATGCAAAATAAAACTCGACTGGAATTGGCTGATTATGAAGCGGAAAATTTGGCTAAATTGCAAAAAATGTTCTCACGCAAATGGGAATTTATCTTCATGCAGGTTTGGATGAAAGCAAATATGCATCTTTTGTGCCATTTCTAATGCAATTTTTTCTTCAAGGCGGAGTCACAAAGCAAAGTTGCGAAAAAACGTGATAAACTGGAGCGCAAGGTGTTAGATTCGCAGGAGCGCGCTTTTTGGGATGTGCACCGGCCGATGCCCGGCTGTGTGAACACTACAGAAATCGACATAAAGAAAGCCTATCGACGTGGCGGTCATGGTTCGGGTACCTCTGGCGGTGCTGTGGCAAAGAATCCTATCGAACAATTGACGCGCGTAATTGCGCTACGCAAACAAAAACTCGAGCGACGCACAATCAAGGTGTCGAAGGCGGCAGAAGCGTAAGTTCTGTGTTTTTTCCTTCTTTTTTTCGGAAAGCAGCTTAAAAGACTGGCACACAATGGGACGAGATCCATAATCTACTACCCAATCTTAAGTTCACGTGTTTCAAAGTTTTTTGTTTAATTTCAAAAGTTTAGGTTTTTCCCAAATGCATTATTTGAATTCTTTCTGATTTAACAAAATTAATTTTTCGCTACAAAATTACCTTGCATTTTCAACAAATAACAACAGTAATTGGCAAAAAAGATGCCATAAAGACGTTTAAAAAAAAAAGAGTATACAATTTATTTTTTACCATTTCAGCCTGGTTGCCTACTACGAGCAGTACAATGAATTTGATTACTTTATTACATTGCCAGAGTTGCCCAATCCCTGGCAAACAGACAGCACAGAAATGTGGGATGCGGAACGTAACTCGTAAGTACTTTTCACTAAATTATTAAGTAATGAATTAAAATTTTGTTAGAAGTGGAAATTACCATTTCAAATACAGTGCCTCCCCCTTTTGATCGCCAGTATCGAGAGTTTTTCTATTTTTTATTTAATATTCATTAATTTTTTATAAAAATATAGCATGTTTTATAACAAAAGCCATGTAAAACTGATTTTTAAACTTTATACAAAATTTATTAGAGTTAATGCAACAAAATTGCAAACTCTTAAAAATCATAACGTAACTCCCACAATTATCCAAATTAAGCCAATTTTTAGAATTTGAACTCTAGACACATACACAAACAACTAAAAAAAAAATTGTTTGGTTTGAAATTAAGGAAAATTATTTAATATTAAATAAACAAAAAGAAAACTGTCAATACTGAGGATCAAAAGCCGGCGCTTGTTTTATTTAGGGTGATTGACTCGGTTTTTCCAAACCGGTTTCCACAGTTTTTTTTTTTTTTTTTTTTTTTTCTACATATTTTTTTGAAATCTTGATTTTCGAATATCCAATAAAGTGGATTTTTTTATCGAACAAACCTTTTTTTGTTTCATTTAATAAAAATCTTGATTCCTCAATAAAAGTTTTAAATTTTTCGAAGTTTTCAAGTTTTGCAGTTTGTGGATGAACAGTATATCATACTTGATTCCAACAAATGAGTGTTTGGCGCTTAAACGTTTTCTACGTGTTAGGCGAGCTTCTCATCCAATTCGTGGTTTAGGCAAAAATCGAATAATCGAACACCCTAGTATTAATTAAAAAAAAAAAACACTGAATTAACTTCTAAATGTTCTTCATTATCAAATCCTGCTATGTTGAGATGGCTCCGCGATTTAGCGTTCGTATATTTTTGCACCGGAAACTGGTGGTCTCAATAAAAAATTTACACGTATGCGGAACTCATTGTGAAATTAGCAAAGAATTTTTTTTTTTTGTAAATCAATGCCTACTTGATATTTAAAGTATTTCAATAAAACAATATAATTTCATTATTGCCGGAAGAATGATAAATACCGAAATCATTAAAATGAATAAAGGTAATAGATCTCAATTATCAATGAAAAAAGATACAGACCTCAATTTATGTCTTAATAAATAATTAAAATTTTACACCCACTAAATTTTCTAATTTCTCTCATTTACAGAAAAGACGTTCCGCTACGGCGCGTCAAACGTTGGGGATTCAGTTTACGTGAGCTACTGAACGATCCAGTGGGTCGCGAACAATTCACTAAATTTCTCGAAAAAGAATACAGTGGCGAGAACTTAAAGTGAGAAATCCTTTATAAAATGGGGCATTCCAGCCCAATTCGGACAACGTTTTGGCTTCGGCTTCTCGGTTTTTTTCATAATCTTTTATTTTATAGTACCAATTTTTTGTGTACAACCGTTTTTGAGACACCGATTTTTGAAAAAAGTTCCTTTTTTAAATGTCATAACTGTACGAAAAACGAGCCGATGGGGATCATTTTTGTTTTGAAATTTTTCATTTTCAAACCCCTTTTGCAATATAAAATCGAAAAAAAATTTCTAGAAAATTTTCAAATTTTCAATATAAAATTTTGATTTCCAAAAAACGCGAACTAGCCGATTTTTCGAAAACTTTTTCAAAAAACTGCCACTCATTCCACAACCCTATACCAATTGGTTTCATCTATAATAAAAAAAATTATGAATAAAATGGGATACGCAAAAGCGAAATGGTGTCCAAATTGGGCTTGAATGCGCCACATACATACCTATCATACAACTGTCACTCAATAACTTCATACAATTTCCAATTCAAAAAGGTTCTGGGAGTCGGTGCAACAAATGAAAACGCTACCACAATCTGAAATCAAAGAAGCAATACACAAAATTTGGCAAGAATTTCTCGCACCCGATGCACCCTGTCCGGTCAATGTGGATTCCAAGTCAGTGGAATTGGCACGCGAAGCAGTCAACGCCGCAAATGGGCCAAATCGTTGGTGTTTCGATGTGGCCGCTGCGCATGTCTACCATCTCATGAAGAGCGATTCATATTCACGTTATCTACGCTCGGATATGTATAAGGACTATTTGAATTGTTCGCGCAAGAAAATCAAATCGATACCAAATTTGTTTGGTGTAAAGCGCTAGGGGGCGGAGTAAATAAAAATATTGAAAATAAGTACGGAAGAGGCGAATGAGCATGGAATATGAAATGGTTGAATTACTTACACATAAGTACTTTAAATATAAATATGTACCGTCATGCCGCTTGTTATTTATAATAATTTGTTAATAAGTATGTACGAAACGATGTTGGAAAAGAGGAATTGAAAAGTGTAACCGCATGTGGTTGAAACTCTATTTGTATTTTATAAAGCTTTTTTACA